TACGTTGGAAAATTCATATCTCAGTAATACTATGTCCAAACGTATTGACATTTTTTTTACAAGCTAGTCTAATTGAGGGCTTTACCTGGACAAAGTTTCAGCTCAAAATTCGAAAATATGATTTTGCTGGAAAATCAATGTCCCACAGGGAATTTTGGGTAAAACTTGAGTATCTCAGGCAAATTGCAATATGGGCCCATATCCTCTTAGACTTTTTCTAGTCTACAAGACCCCTACTTATGGGCAAAATATGGAGCCAAAAGCGGTGAATCACTTGAGGACCTTCCCTCGAAAGTATACTCTTGCTTGTTGCTGATGACGCTAGAAAAAAATGTAGTGTTAATGCTAAACATCATAATTGTGAATATATATCTAAATGCTTTTACCATCATGATAATACATGTTCACCTTTCTTGATAATTCATGTTGTTCTTCATGTATTTAATTACTTCGTCATATGATTCATCATCATGTTTAGATGAATTTTCATTAGAAAAAAAGTCATATAGTGAAACAATATCGCTTTCTACTTATATGACCTTTTGTTAAGTATAATAAATTGCTCACGCTTTCACTCGTATGTTTTTATACAAATAAGCAGCTTGAAATAGTGAAAGTATTTTGAAACGTTGAGACTTTCTTAACTGCCGTATGTGGTTTGTATATGAGAGTACACCAGACATCCGAGCCGCTCCGGCGAGTTGACATCCGGATCCATGTTTTGGTCCAGTTGCAGAATTCTACTATAAATATGAATTTAATAATGATGAATCTCATCGATCGATTTCTTCGTTAATTGATTCTAAACAAAATTCAACGATATTTTTCTTTTCCGAAAATAATCCTTAGTTATTTTGTATTAGTTTTGCTTTAATTTTCTTCGAATGAATAGAAAAACTATTAATATACAATTTTTTTTTGTTCAATAATTCATCATTTCATAAATAAAATAAGTTCTATTTTTATCTATTCAAATCGTTTTAGACAATTCAACGAACATCACCCGATATAAACAATTGAGGGGGAAGAGAAGGAAAAAAAAATATCTATTTCTTTTTTATTTCATCTATTCCACCTTCCCCCTCATATTAAATCTATTATAAATACTCTATTGATGTTCCTTAATGAATGTCGAGAGACAAAAAAAAAAGGTATATGACAACTGTGATTGACGTGTGTGTGCCATTGTCACGCACGTTTAGCAAAACAAAAAAATCGTTAATTAATTGCTTTTGTTGTATTTTTTTTCCTTTTTCTTTCGCCACATGTCATTAAAATACAAAAAATAGAACATATTATGAATGCAAGTAAACAACATATATGATAAGTATGTACACAGATGATCAAACGTATTTATGTTCGTGGTATACGAGAATGTCTGAAGATTATCTTTCGTCTTTATGCATATCATTTGATGAGTAAAGTCAATAGAATACAATTGTTCAAAAACGAAAAAAAATAAGAAAGATAATTGAATTCTTCATAGAACAAAAAAAAAGAAAGATATAAAATAAAATAAATGCCTTAAGCAATGCTTTTCAATTTTCACTTAATGATGATGTTGGCGTCATAACAAGTTACATATTCATATACTTCACACTATACACTAATCCGTCATCTCAAGCTATCAATTGAAAGAAAAGAAAGTGTCTATTAAAAACAAGTGAGGATTTATTTTTTTAATAAGTAACTCACTCGACACCGATGACTAGAGGTACAAAACAAATTCAAGTTTGTGTTTTTTTTAACAAGAACACATTAAAATCAACTTGTTCAAGAATTAAAAGAACACTTCATTGTTTACGTAACAGAAAAAAAAAGATGATATTGACTTTCGTTTTTCTTTTTTGTCGATTTACAAAATTATGAATTTTAGTTTATAATAACATTCTTTTTCTTTTTTTTTCCACAACTTTCAAAGAAAAACTTATCGAGTGATTCTCATTGGTTTATTTTAATCCTTTTTTGTCATTGGTTCATTTTATCATCATCTTTTTTTTTCTCTCAACAAAAATCTCATTGGATAAACAGAAAAGAAAAAAAAACAAGAAGAAAAAAAAAGTGAAAAACTCCTCATATTCCAACATACTGCTTGTCAATCAACATCGACTAACGATCATCGCGTGACATACTCATTGCTCGTTTTTTTTCTTCTTCTTTGGTTTCTCTTGCAAAAAGATTGTGCGTGTTCGATGAATATTTTTCATCATCAGTTCTCATCTATTTGAAGTTTCGAATAATATTCTTTTCTCATCGTCTTTTTTTTTTATTTCTAAACAAAAGTGGCTTCTGTAAATAGTCAAACAAAATATTCTTCACCACCATTAGGTGATTATTATTCAAATTATGCATCAATGACAAACGATCCATCAACATTAAAATTTGGTTATACAGATCCATTTTCATTTGGATTTAGTCAACATTCAACATTATCATATAATGGTTCATCACAAAGAAAACAAAGACGTGAACGTACAACATTTTCTCGTGCACAACTTGATCAACTTGAAACATTATTTGCTCGAACACGTTATCCAGATATATTTATGAGAGAAGAAGTAGCTATGAAAATAAGTTTACCAGAATCAAGAATACAAGTATAAGAATTTTAATTCAATTAAAAATTAATTTTTATATTATTTGATTTTTTTCAACAATAGGTTTGGTTTAAAAATCGTCGTGCAAAATGTCGTCAACAAGATAAAGCAATTAAAAAACCATCATCATCATCATCATCAAATAGTAGTTTACATGAAAAAAATGAAACATCATCTCCTTGTAAACGTGAAATAAAAAGTCCAAATATTCGTCTTAATCATCGTTCACCATCATTAATATCAAGTACAAATGTTGGAACAAGTTCAGATAATTCAACAGCATCAGCAGCTGCATCTTTAGCTGCATGGTCATCACAAGCTGTTGCTTATCATCATATGTATCCAACATCATATAGTCCAAATCAAGCACTTTTTTATACGAATGATCCAACAACAAATAATTCAACAATATATGGAACGAGTTATAAAAATCCAGATATGGATTTTCTTCAACCAACATCAATGTATGGACGAACAAGTGAAGAATTTATGAACGGTTGGACAAATGCACATCATCATCATCATCAAAACTTTAAAATTTTCAATTAATATTGTATTTGTAAGCGAACAGTGTAGAGAAAAAAAAGCTGTTAAATAAATGAAAAGGTATTTAATTGGATGGAATAATGATGAATGTTGACATATTGTGATGGGTGGAAAGATTAGCCTATTTGTCAATAAAGTAAAAGAACTATATGAAAAGTCAATCAAAAGAAAAAAAAAAAAAAAAGCTTGACTTTGTCATTCTTATTTTCTCGGTCTCTCTTTTTTTTTTGACATCAATTAGGTTTTCTTTTTTTTATATTAGAATAAGAATAGAAGGGATTAACAAAAGTCTATCAAGGAATATAGCTCTTTCTTTTTTGCTTCTTGGTCAACATGTATTGCCAAGTGGCATATTGGGCGTTACTAGTCGCTTTTTTTTTATATAAAAAAAAACATACATACTTTGATTTATATGTCAGTATACAAGTGGATAAGATGATACAATGATAATTAAACCATAACTAAAAAGACATTTTTTTCTTCTTTATTTTCCTTAAAAATATCTTTTTCATTCATGCTGAGTGCATCAATATAGATCATAGTTGTATATGCAAGCTTGTATCATAAGCCGATTAGTCTGGATTCTCATTTTCGATCGGATGATTTAGATTATTTTTAACTAGAATAATGCAAACAGTAACACAAGTGGGTGGTATTTAAGCCGATGGTTTCTTTTTTGTTCCCACCTGAGTTCAATACTCACCATTCTACTTCAAAAAAAAAAAAAAAAAAGAAAAAGACACGCGACACAATACGACGCCTGAAGCAAAGATTATCTTATTCACGGCGTCAGAATGACACTAAAGAAAAAAAAATAATTACATTTTCATGCGTTCAATTTTCGTAATAGAAAAAAAAAAGAAAAAGAATGATCACAGTTAGTGGCGTAACTAGACCAGGACTCAATGGTACGAGAAAGCTTCGAATTTCGCCTAGAACTATTCTAAGACAGTCGTTGTCCTTTTTAGAGATGTATTTTAGAGAGGAGCGGTGATAGGTCTCTCTTACAACTATTTTTCTAACTACGCTACTAATCTAAGTGATTAAAATGGTCATTGATGAACAGTTTCAGATGAAAGAATTGAAATATTCACTAGATCAAGGTGGTAAAAGGCATCTTAAATTACAATGTCAATAATCGATGACATGTTTATCAACAAACGGTATACATCTTTAGTATTGATAATGGATTATTCAATTCTGTTAGAAGAGAAAATATTTTTTTTTTTCTTTGAGTGTTATTCCTGTACAGATGAAATACAGAGGAAATCGTTCTTATTTTCTTTTTTTTTGTTTCAAATGAGACAATCATTCAGCACGTTTAGTAAATTGATAGTCGATTTCGAACAGGTGTCGAATTTATATCAACTAGGAATAGTAAATCAATAAATGGCACGTTCAATATTTTTTTTTTCACATCTATACATCAGACAACAAATTATATTTTTTTTTTTTTGTTCTATTCTNTCAGATTGAATACTCCAGACATGGAATATTAACCATCAAAATGTTGGTATGATTAACATTATTCATACAGAAGTTGATCGTCATTATAGAATACCCACATGGTGGATAGAATAATTAACAAGTTCTCAGTTCTGATTGATTGATTAAACTAAATAGATTTCATTAGTTAACTAGCAGACATCAGAGATGTCCATCGCGGCGCTGGCACCTTATTACTGGAAGACATTACAAAAGCTGCATGAATTTGCACAAAAATTGAGTGTTCACAGACGTAACACTCTAAGACTCAATGAATTTCATCAATTAGTGACAAGAATTGTATTTCAATACATTCACAGCAATGAAATTTGAAACTTTTTTTCGAGTACCATCGCGGCAGCGGCATACTTTTTGGAAATTCATTGCGGTGCGGCAGCGGCAGATTTCGAGCCGCGATGGACATCTCTGGCAGACATATTGTTACAAAGAAAAAAAGAAACATTTTTTTTTCTACACTTTGACTTTATTCTAAAATTAAAAGAGAAAATTTTTATTTAATTTTAGTTGGTCTAGTGGTTTACAATTAGCTCGTATAACTCATTGGGGTGGAATGATATCAACTCCAAATATTATTTTACAAAATTCTATAAAAAATGCATTACTTGAAAGTGGTTGTCCAATTAATATAACAAATGAACTTATGGAAAATGCACATGAACGACATTGGCCAGAAGGACTTTCAACACTTGGTTAATAATTTTTTTTTTCTAATTATTTTTAAAATATATTTTTGTTTTTGTATTTTTTCTTCGTAGAAACTCGACAATTAAATAGACGACATTATGAAAGTTATTTATGTCGACGTATTATTGGTGAACAAGCAGTTGTTATACTTAGTTGTGATAATCGACATATGAATCAATCAATGAGTAAGACAAGAAAAAAAAAAAAAAAGAAATTTTCTTTTATTTTTTATTTTCAATTGTATATTTAGTTAGTGAACCAGGCATTGTGGTGATATTTTCACAGGGTGTCAAATGATATCTGATCTTTTTTTTTTGTTTGATTATCAGTATGAAGCACCATTATTTTCTTTAATAAGAAAATAAATTTTAACAGAGCCATAATTATTTGTATTAACTATTTCATAATGACGAATAAGAAATATAGCAGCTAAACCATACATTAATGTTGGTATACCTAAATTAAATACTTTAAACAATGTATATAGACGATTTTCATAAGATAAATCATTTGTTTTTATTCGTTGTGTACAATGATATTTGATATAAGGAAAACAACCTAAAATTCAAATGAATAAGAGAAAGAAAAAAATCATATATTTTCATTTTACCAGTTCGTAATATATGATAGTTTCGTCCATCAACATCAAATTCAAAATGACTTTGACCAAATTGATCATTTAAACAATCATATTGACGTATAAAATATGATGTCCATGAAGGATAATTTCGTTGTCGTATATAACATCGGAGAACTTCAGAAGCTTTTGGAACGATTTTCGAACGAAAAAAATGATTGTATAAACTGATTAACATTTTTAAAAACTAAATACATATCTAAAAAGATTCATTGTTCATTAAAAAACAAAAAAAAAACTTCAATCGTATAATGTTTTGTTACAGTTCATATTATCATAATTTCAATTTTATTATTGCATTCTAAACATTTTCGAACACTCATCTTTTCGACATCTAATCCTTTATTCAAAATCAGAAAAATCGTGTCATTATATAACTTATATAAAAATAGTAAATAGACATGAGCGGAACCAATCTGTTTTTGTGCGAACTAATAAAAAGTTCGGTTCGAATACAAGACTTGAAAAAAAATTTGTACGCATAATGCTTAAAATTATACTGTAACATAGTCGAACACTTTGAAATATCCTGCGGCTATATTCATTAATCGCTAATATATATTTCATGTGAAGTGCATTAGAGATTAAACGGAAATCAATTTATTCATATTGAACAATAAGGCACTGCATTGTCTGTCACTGTCGATAGTTTTTAGTGAAGATTGTTATCATCATTTCGGTCGAAAAAAAATGAATATTCAAAAGATTTGATAAAGACTTTTTGTATCGTTTTCGTTTAGATTTTACAAGACGTGAAATCTTCTATTTTTTAAAAGCAACGAAGAATAATTTCAAGATCAATAAGCACCGTGAAATTATCGGAAATATTCTTTTTGAATATCGGCATACAAATTTTCGGTCTACTTTTACTTGAGAGTAGTGCATAAAAACATCTTTGAAATGTTTAAACAATTTGTTTAGGTGGAAAATTTTTCGTTCAGTTTTATATTTTGATGATTAGAATTTGTAACCAAGTGTTGAAATTTTTGTTTACAGATCAGATTGTAAAGTAAAATTTGTTTTACATTAATGTATTCTTTTACTTTCTGTTTATCTTCGAAGAAAGTATCTACAAACTGTTGTTTTTCTATCATTCTCATTTTTGAAAAATTAGTTTTTGATGAAAAGATGTTTAGAGACTCATTTGAATAAAAGCGATAATTTATTTCGATATATCATATTTTGTGAAGAACTATCTGATCGATAGAATTTGCCAAGTTCAAAATATTTTTGAAATAAAAAATCTAAATATTTTGAAACTCTTTGTACAAATTAATGTTCGCGGCAAAATTACAGAGTGATGTGTGTAAGCTCAATGATTACACAATGACAATAGTTAGTGGACTGTGGTTTCCAAAAATCCAAAGAGGAGAACATTGGGTGTATCTGAGGCGGATGCTATTGAAAACAAGATTATTTTGAAACTCATCATCTTCTCAAAACATTTTACAAAATGATGCTTCGTTTCAAGGAAATTTTGATAAAAGGTCAGAAAATCAACAGAATTCTATATAATTTGCCTGAATAAGTTACACGATTTCACTTGTTCAATATTGATATATGAGAAGATTAATCGTTTGAGTTGTGTCTTGAACTATAGATCTAAAGCAAAGGTCAAAAATCAAAATTACATCTAAATGAAACACTGTTTTCATACTTAATCGCCTTTTATATAATTTTGTCTTATTTAGTATCAGATAAAAACACGTTCAGAGTATTCATCTTGTCATTGCTGCGAAGTATTATTTTTGTCGAGTTATTAAAGTTACACCCATCCCTCTTTAATTCTGGCGTAGATATTAGTATATGTGAGATCTTTCATAGAAAGTAGTTTCAAGATAGAATTAGCAAAGATAATTTTTCCGAATAACTGACGTTTTACAGAGATCTACTTAAACGTAGAAGTATTCAAAATTCGATGACTTTGCCAAAACCTTTTAGGAGTTTTACTAGAACATTATATGGTATCTATAGGCAAAACAAAAAATCATTGAAATCGATAGGAAATATATGAGGATGTTACCTTGTAAGTTTTTTATCAAAAAGAACAATCATTTCTATTTTTATTTCATTTGTCTAGAGTACTTAACACGCGAGTCAATAATAGAGTCCATCGGACTGATCTCAGAATCCGATCCGAAAATTCTGGACTCAATAGGTTTTACCCTACATATTTCTTAGGCGATTCGTCTGAGATATGTATAAACTGTACTAGTTACCAAATACAAAAATCGGAAAAAAAGTATTTTGTGTCTTCGGAGTGGCTATCCTATTCCGATTAGAAAATTTTCATTGAAAGTATCAAAGTGCAGTTCGTTCGGGTCCGGTTTCGAAAGTTTTAAACTCGATGTGCTCTAGTCAACAATAAACAAAGATTTTCTATATAAAACTTCATACAACTCATTAGAATGATTTTCATAGAATTTTCTATAATTTATCATAAAAAAAAAATAAGTATGAATATATTAATAAGTTTTTTTTTTTATTTATATTTATAATCAATAAATCTGTACATTAAGACATTAATTGTGTTGGTCGTTTATTTGTATTACTAATTGATTCCATTGATGGTGTAAAAATACTCATATCAGGTTCTTCTTTAAAATCCATGATAAATTCTCCAACTTTTGTTACTATTCCATCTAAAATAGACAAATAATTATTAAATAGAAAAACTTCGATAATACTTCTTCCTGGTTTAACACATAATTCATTTTTAAAAACTTGTGTTATACAATTTTGTAAACGAAGTATATCTCCTGGTGATATTAATTTTCCTGTTGTATTCCAAACATTAAGTGTTACTGAACCAGTTCGATCAGCAACTTTAAATGAATGTATTTCATGACCTTCACGTGTTTTTTGAGGATTAGCTTGTATACGTAAAACAATAACAAGTAAATTGATTTGTCGTTGATTTGGTTCAAGTTTTGCAACAACTGTTGTAGGTTCAAATCGATCTGGTGGTGGAAGATTAACTATAAATGGTGGTGTATTATCTGTGTCCATCTAGAATATTTTTTGTTTTCTTTATTTTTAATAAAAAAATAAAATAACAATAAATTTTTGTTTTATTTCGGTAATGAAATAGTATATGTAAAAAAATCATCAGTAATGAATACTGGTCGTGATGTTCCTTGTTTTGCTTGTTCTAATAGAAGATCAACTGTTACGTCATCATCATCTTCGCTTTCTTCGTCTTCTCTCTTATGTTTTTTATTTAGATTTTCTTTATTTTCTACTGTGTTTGATTCAATTGTTGTTTTGGATTTATAACGTTGACTAAAATGATTTAATAATAAACATTTAGCATCACATCTTTCAGCTAATGATGTTGCAATTGATGGTGTTGAATGACCAAAATCAATAGCTTTATCACGAAGAGTATCATCATGTGTACATTCATGAATAAGTACATCACATTGTTGAGCAAATGGAATTACATTTGATGCATCAGAACAATCACCTAATATAACAATACGACGACCTGGTCGTGATGCACCAACATAATCTGTTGGAGAGAGAATTCGACCATCATCAAGTGTAACAGTTTCACCAAGTTTTAAACGAGAACAAAATGGACCTGGTTTTATACCTGATTCTTGAAGTTTTTTTATATCGAATTTTCCTGGAAGATCATTTTCGACTATGATATACCTAAAAATAAGAAATAAGTCAATATTGTATTTCAAATATAATGTATCATTTCTCAAAGCATTCATTCGTCCATTACAAATTAACTAGAGCCGAGGTATGTTCAGATTTCCAAAAAAGGAAATTACCCAAATTTCTATCGGCTCGATAATTATATAGCAGTGCAAGTCAAAAGTTTTTAGACATATTGGAAATTTCTGCAAGTAAATAATTGCGAAAATTACATTATTTTAGGAAGTCTGAACACTGCTGAAAACTCTAGCTTAGCAAAATTATTCATCCAATATTTTTTTTGCCACTGTTTTAAACTCTAATAACAATCCACATAGTGATTTTGTGTAGAGAATTTTATTTTCTAAGATAAAAATGATTGCTAGTTTCTCAAAAATAGGATCTCTGAAAAACAAACCAAGTTTGTTTCCTCTTAGAGTTTTACAAATAGTACTCTCTTTGAATGACTTAAAATGATAGAGAAAGCGATTCCCTAAAATATGAAACGTCTTCTAGCTCTCTACGTCTTTTTTTTTGACCGAGATATATCAGTCTTACGGAAGGCATAAAAAAATAATATTTATACCTTCTATAAAGTTCATATATCTTGATAAAAAAACATATTAGAGTGTTGAAAAAAATTTCATTTTGTGTAAGTGTTTTTCAGAGATTCTATCCTTAAAAAAAACTAGCAATCATTTTCATCTTCGAAAATAAAATTCTCTACACAAATTAGTGTTTCGATTCTTATTACCAATTACGACAATAAGCCCAAGTGAGTCATAATTTACTGAATGAAAGAGAAAATTTAACTAAAATTTTTAGTTATAATTCAAACTATTTCCAATTTAAAAAAAAAAAATATTGCCAAACATTGTGTTTCTAATCTCAAATAAAACTAGTAAAAATTGATTGTCTTTACCCATAAGATGGTACTCGATGTTTAATAGAAACAGCATAAACTGAACAATTATCTTCATCCGATATTAAATGATAACTTCCATCTTCATTAATATTTACCGTTCTACATCTTTCATTTTTTTCTTGTTTTTCAATAGTTTTTTTTATGAAATCTTCATCTATACCATCATATGAATTCGGTATGATTTCTACGACTTCGTATTTAAATGAAAGAAATGAATATGATAATCTTAATGTAGTTTCTATAAATTCTCTTAAACCAAGTGGCCCATATAGAATCAAAGGTGATATTGATGGACTTGCTGAAAGTGTACATAAAAGTCCTGGTAAACCAAATATATGATCACCATGAAGATGTGTTATAAAAATTTTTGTTATACGTGATGCACGAAGTGTTGAACGTTGAATTTGAATTTGTGTACCTTCACCACAATCAAATAAATAGATATTACTTGTTCCACTAACACGTAAGGCTTTGAAAATAAAACATCAATCTTTTTGTTTTCTCTGAATTAATTAGATTCTTACCGAGACTTGATGCACCTCGATGTGGACTTGGATTATTTGATCCGGTACCGAGAAAAATTAGTTCCATTTTATATAAATTTATTTTACAGCAGCTAAAATTGTAATTGGCAACAGTGTTTCTAATGGAATTCTAAAACAAAATGTACACAACCATTTCCATTATCGAAGTGAAGCGAAAGAGCAAAAAAGAAAGAAAAAGTTCTAGTAAAAACTGAGATATATTATAAAATTTTTCCGAAAAGTGTATTGTAGCGTGTATTTTTATAGCTGCAGATGTTTGTACATTTTAGTTCCGCTGTGTTCATTTCCCATTAGAAACACTGCCGAAATGACAGACGATGATGTTAACTTGCACAATATTTCTTTCATCATCTTCTTGACAAATCAATTTGACAAATAAAGATGTCGCTCATAAATAAAAAAACGTGTTTTTTTCGAAAAATATTTTAAAAGAACAATTATTTTTGATATATTGATTATTATTATTATATCAAATAAAAAGAATTTCAATTTTAAATCTTTGACAAGAAATTGAAAAGTAAACAAACAAAAATAAGAAGAAGAAGATTTATCTAATCAAACTATTATTCTATTTTATTTAATCAACATTAATAAAAAGAAAATAAATATTTCCATGGCATGTTGTCAACAGATTTTCGTACTAAAACTTATACATTTGAAATTAAATTCGGTGCCTATCATCAAAAGGTAACAGTAACAATGAGTCCATTTAGTCTGACAATGAATACATTACGTGAAGTTGCTATTCGATTTATTCAAACAATGGTTTGTAAAAAAAAAAAAAGACAAATTAAAGCATAACGATTTAAAAATTTTATTTTTTATTCAAGTGTCCAGATCAAGACATAAAATTATTACATAATCGAATATTATTATATCGTTATGAACCATCATCATATCAAATGATATTACCACTAAATCCAAAAGATATTCTTCTACCAGATACTATTGTTGAAGTTATTATTTCTCGTAAGTTAAGAACAAAAAAAAAAGAAAACTAGTTAGATGTCATATAATTAATAACATAAGGAAAAAAAAAAACATTTTTTTTATCCAAAAAATGAAGAAAAAAAAATTATTCTCAAGAGAAAATTTCTTTTTTAATAAATAGAATTTTTTAAAAATTTTAATCAATAAAAAGATTTTTTTTCTTAACTAAAACATTAGCTAATGGTTAGTTTTAAATATATACTGTTGATGTATTATTTTCTTAAATACGATGGAAGATTAATGTAAGAATGAGTAATAAAAAAGTTTCGATCATCTAATTCATATCTTATTTCTCGAGAAACCTCTACTCTGTTTTTACTAATTGAAAAAAAGTCATTGGTATGTGCATGAGTAATCATCTCTCACACTATACTACGATATGAAATACCGCGTTTTTTTTCTTACTTCCTTTTCTTATTCTCAAGCTGCTCAGTATGCTTTTTACGATTTTATTAAAAAAAAAAACTATACGTCTATTTGTGCACATGACGTACTTATGTGGTACGCTGGTCTAAAGAGAAACGAGCATTTCCGATCTTCTATTCTTCTTCTTTTCTATACTCCCAGGTAATGTTGTTTTTAGGAATTTTATTGACTTATCCGAATAAGTTCAATTAACGTTCGTAAATGATCATAATATTTTGAACAATGGTGATTTATCTTTTGTTCTTTGTCTTTCAATACCATTGATGAATAATAACGGATGCTTATTGCACGTTCTTTTGTCTTATATACGTAGACATACCATGTTGCTTACGCCAACAATGACAACGACAGCACTTGCTGTCGACTATCCGTCATACAGGATAGCTGAAAACATAATAAGCAAAAAGGAAATGTGTATTTGTGAGTATGACAGTATTTCTACAGCTATCTTTTACTCCGGTATTGCCAACATAGTGGCAACTATCAGCAAATAATAGAGAAAAAAAGCAATATAAATGGTCCCGCTCGTTCATGTGCGCGACGAGAGTATAGAGCAACGATTTGATAAGCGCGTTGCCGAACGGGGAATAGAGCAGCACTTGATTATTTCGCTTGAAGCGTTGATTTTACACGACTAAATCGTAGTAGAAACGACCGAAGACGAGAAATAGAAAGATCACTAGTTCGAGTAAATATTCTTTCTTGCAGTCGTTTATCCGCTCGTTTAATAAATTTAATTATCCGGCCGACGATTATCTTTAGATTTGTTCAAAAAAAAAACATACATTCATTTATTTGTCTGTAAAGTTTTTCTCGATATAATATTGTTTTTCATTCATTCTTTCTTCTTCTCTTAACACTTAAACTAATATTTGTTTATTCATTAGGTGCATATTTAAACATAAAAGAGAAAATATAATATTATCTTTCTTATCAATAAGAACTTCTTTAATAATAAATGTATCTATTTTTCTCTTCTTCTTCTTCTTCTTCTTCTTTTTAGTTAGATTTGATTAACCAATTGATCTATATTTTAGTAAACATCGAAGCGTATATTTCTTTTTTAGCGTACATCATGAGTGACTGTACACGTCTTGTTCCTCATGTACTTAATTTACATACATATTTATCACCAACATTTTGTGATTTATGTGGACAATTTTTATTTGGTCTTTATAAACAAGGAATGAAATGTGAAGGTAATGTTTCTATTTTTCTTAATTATAATATATTAAATTGTTAAAATATTTCTTTTTTTTTATAGGTTGTGGTCGAAATTTTCATAAAAGATGTGTGTCAGATTTACCGGACAATTGTTCGCTTACGGCAAGAAAAATTTCAAATGTGGCATTAGTACATGATGACGTAAATAAAGAAATTTTTAACTTTCTTTTTTTTTTAATAAGAAGAAAGTAAAACAAAAAAAAACAGGAATATATTGAGATTAGATGCATTTCCGTAAATTTTTGATATATTACAATTATAATGTGATTCGACGGTATGCATCAATAAGGACTTCATTTTTCTTTTTCTCATTTATTCTACCTGGAAATTTGATGATCATTTTGCTGAATTAGATTCTTATATTAGAAATTATTTAAACATTATTATGTTTTTGAATAATTAACTAAACTCAAATATAGAATAAATAATTATGATTTAATTTATCTGTAAAATAGATTGATAATCATTTTCAGAGAATTTATTGTGAAAGACACTTAAATGACTTTTTAATTTAAATTCCCTATTATCATGAAAAAACTTCATTCGAACTTATAAAGAAGATTTTTTTCTTTATTATCAAAATAAATTCTATTAAAAAAATTTTCATAATCTCATAACAGACAAAACGAATATCGTTTTAAATTATCTCATTCATCATTTTTCACAGGATACAATTGATTTTAAAAAACGTTTAACATTAACCGGTGCTGAATTACCAACAGCATTACCTCATTGTTTTTATGTACACAGTTATCGATCACCAACAAAATGTCATATTTGTAAACGTTTATTAAAAGGTTTAGTTAAACAAGGTTATCGTTGTAAAGGTATTAAATTCAAAATTATCTTTTTTTTTCAAAACATAAGAAACAGATTTTATTCTTAGATTGTAAAATGAATGTGCATAAAAAATGTATACCAAAAGCAACAAAAAATTGTCGAGGAATATTAATGCAAAGTACTTCACCAGGTAAAAATAAAGAAAAAACAAAAGAAAAAAAAACTTAATGAATGAATATTATGATTATAATTATGAAAATAGATGATGAGGATTCAGCACGTGAAACAACAGATGATTTAGCTGTTGGTGGACGTTTACGTGATTTATCAGCATCACCAATAAATCTTCCTGAAAATGATGATGATGATAATGGAAATGAATTTTCATTATCATTATTTTCTCGTCATGGAAATATTCGAGCTCAACGTCTTATACAAAGTATAAAACGTGTTAAAAAAGCAAGTGGTGGTGCTTTATTTTGGGAAGGTTGGATGGTACATACAACTGATAAAGAACCATTAAATGAAAAAACATATTATTGGCGTGTTGATGCTTCGTATGTTAAAATTAGAAATAGAAAAAAAAAAAAGAAATGTTCTTTTTCAATATTTTTCCTTTCATTATAGATGTTTAACAATGTATCAAAATGAAACAACAAATAAATTTTCTCGTGAAATACCATTAGAAAATGTTTTTTTACAAATCAATACTATGGTAGATAAACCACATTATTTTGAAATTCGTACAGAACAAATTATTTATTATTGTGGATGTAAACGAACAAGAAATCGAGTAAAATAAATTTACGACAAAAAAAAAACAAAGAAATTTTTTTTATTTTAAGAAATATGATATAGCACATTCATCACAACATGCAAGAAATGCTTATACACAAATTCGTCAAGCATTATTAGCTTATAATAATGAAGGAAATGAAGTAAAAAGTGTATTTACAATCGTTACATCGAGATCAGAAAGTCGAGATATTGGGGAATTATATAAAATAAATCCAATAGAAGTACTTGGTAGTGGACAATTTGGAACAGTTTATGGAGGTAAAAAGAACGTTATTTCAAAATTGAATAGAATGAACTAGAATGTCATGATTCTCTTTAATTTGAGAAGTCATGTTTTTTTTGTGTATTATAAGTAAATAATATCACAAGAGGACGATGCAACGGAAATACGATCTTACTAGAAATACAGATTTCAAGAACAGTACGTGATCTCTAACTAACTCGTGGCAGTTATGAACGTAATCAACGGTATTTCATTCTTTCCATATCCTAACGAAGTCAGAACATTCATCTTAGGCCTTCTGCGTAAAGTTATAGGCATTTTGCTAGAATCTTAGCCTATGTGAGAGTAGGTGATAACAAATAGAATGACGATATTTCGACCTGAGATTTTATCCACAGATAGCTCTGCTTATGACTGCAATACTCAGAAAATTTCAGCTCCAAAAAATGTTTTCTTCCCGAGATATTAAAGTCCCAAAAATCACTCATATTCCACGAAAGATGTTAAAAATTTTTTTTTGTGACTTTAATATCTTCGGAAGAAAGCATTCTACTGACAAATTGACTTTCCTGTGCAAAAAAAATTTCAGATCGAAATAGCATCAT